ATTTTAATGGACTACTGGGAGGTGGTAAAACTGTAGGCAGGTGGGGTGTGGCTGGAGGAAGTAAGGCACTGAGGGGCATACTCTTGGGGACTATATTTTGTCCCTGGGACCTCTTCTCTCTCCTTCTCTTCTCTCTCTCTGGCTTCCATGAGCTGAGAAGTTTTCCTTTACCATGCCCTTCCACCACCATGATGTTCTGCCTCCCCTCGGGACCAAAGCAATGGAGCCTACTGACACCGAACTGAGACCTCTGAAACCATGAGACAAGTTTGTTTGTTTGTTTGCTCAGGTGTTTTCAAAGTGATGAAAAGCCGATTAACACAACCAAATAGCATCACAAAGTAGGGTTACATCATTCTGTAACCAGTAAACTTGAACATTGGAGGGAACTTCAAAGATCAGTTGGCCCACCTCAATTTCACCATATGCATAAGATCAAGGGATGCCAAATGTTCCACCCAAGATCACATAAGAACGAGTTTCCTGATATCTGTAAGTACAGACTTCCTTCCTCCCACTCCACTATGGGGCTGTGGAATTTCAGATACTACTTTCAAGTGAGGAGTCTCTCCTTTCTTATTGAAATTTTGGTATTGTTTCTCAACCTTCTGCCAGTGGTATTAGAACTTGGCTACTTAAGAACAATTTTCCTGTTACATGAATTGCTTTTGAAAGTGACCTGAATGTGAAGTACTATTTTTTAGCCTTTTAAAAATACATTTTTCCTCCCATGTACAGTTATAGTTCTCTTCTCTATTGTCAAACTCCCCCAACCCCAATGGGGCATTTTTTTTTCTGCTTTGACCTACTCAATTCCTCAATTTCCTATTGGAAAAATACCAAAACACATTGTTTTAAGGGATATTACTTATTGAATTTTCTGAAGAGTCAAGCACAGGTTTTGTTAATGTTTACTCAGATGAAAGAACTAAAGTTTGTAAAGCCAAGGAATCATGTTTGTCTTTCGATGAATGCACATAATTTCAATTAGTGTTATTCTCATCTCATGCAAGAGATTAATTTTGAGAGAACGAAGAGTACAGTGGAAGAAGGGAAGAAAAAGAATCATTTTCTCTCCCAAACTGCATCTTTGTGCTTTCATGAAGTGCATTCTTCTTTTTCGGGGAGGGGAGTACAGGGATTGAACTCAGGGGCACTCACCCACTGAGCATAATCCCCGGCCTTATTTTTGTATTTTATTTAGAGACAGGGTCTTACTGAGTTGCTTAGCGCCTTGCTTTTGCTGAGGCTGGCTTTGAACTCTTGATCCTTCTGCCTCAGCCTCCTGAGCCTCTAGGATTACAGGCCTGCGCCACTGCACCAGGCCTGAGGAGCATTTTCCGATGATCATTGCTCATGCTTACGCCAGGAGGCTGATCCCGGATCGCAGGAAGCACATTCTAGAGGTCCAGTTGGATAGAGAAATCCATGAGACACTGTGTCAAGAAGCATCTGGACTCAAGGGACATTTGCCCAAAATGCCAGTGGAGGCTGAGCACATGCCTCGCAAGTGCTGTTCCTAGGTCTGGATTTTCATTTTCCTGATTTCCCAAGAACAGGACCTCTATCATGTGCTAGTCTCTCTCTGATATTTTGATATACCTTATAGTTTTTTATTACTTTAATAAAGAGATTGACCTAGCATATGCTATCTATAGGTACAAGTCACATGATGGTGTGTGAGAAGGCTTACTAGTATGACTCCTCTGAGGACATGTTGCATGGTGACATGCAGGGAGTGCCATACCACCTGTGCTTCTGCTTAACAGGGAATCATTGCAAGTCATACTCCAAATAGAGAATTTCCTTTTCTGTCAAAGGAAATTGAATATATTCTTCTCCATTCTAGCCGAGTGGCAGAGAACACAGGCATAGTACACAGAAACAGCTGGCAAAAATATAGCTCAGGGCCCAACAGACCCATAGAGAGAAAAGCTCCAGGAAGGTGAACAAGTAGCTGTGGTGTGCCTTAGAAGTACAGCAGATAGGGCAATCCTTAGTGTCAACAAGAGCAAGTTGCATAAACAGACTGAGTAATATACTTAATATGAAAAGGCGCTCAGTCAACACAGATTAGCCCGGAACAGAGAGGATTTTCACATAGGTTTGAATGTCTCTCTCAAAAGTTCATATGTTAGGAACTTAATCACCAAATTCACGTGTTGATGGTATTTGGGGGTGGACCTTGGGGACATAATGGAGGAGTGATGAGGTCATGAGGGTGGGACCCTATGATGGCATTAGTGGCTTTAATAAGAAGAGGAAGAAAGACCTGGGCTAATAGGCTGTCCTGCTCTAGGCACCTGATGCTCACTTACATGTGAGGATTCAGCAAGAAGGTACTCATCGGATGCCAGTACCTTGATATCACACTTCCCAGCCTCCAGAACTGCGAGAAATAAATTTCTTCTTTTTAAAATAAACAATTCCAGGGGCTGGGATTGTGGCTCAGCGGTAGAGCGTTTGCCTAGCACCTTTGAGGCCCTGGGTTCGATCCTCAGCACCACATAAAATAATTAAATAAAATAAAGATATTGTGTCCGACTACAACTAAAAAATAAATATTAAAAAAATAAATGATTTCTTCTGTGGTATTCTGTTATTACAGTAGAAAGTGGACTGACAGAGTCAGAATTTCTCTGCATAATGATTATAAGAGTTACAAAACAGCTTTTCCTTCTTGCTTCTAAAGAAGATCCTGCTGCCCAAAGGGCTCTGATCAGGATGGAGGTGGAAGGTGGTGAAGGAGTGGAGAGCTAAAGGGATTTTCTCCGGCCAGGGAGCAAATCCAAGTGACAAGATAGAGGCACAGATGCAGAAAGGAGGCTGGTCTCCCTCTTGTCTCCCAGTAAAAATGAAAAACCACTTTACAGAGTCTGCTTGGGTGCAGGAGCTAAGTTTGGATAGAATTTGGGGGAAGATTAGATTTAGGAGAGGCAGGACAGCTACTGGTGTGTGTGAGCTGTATGTGGAAGCAGAGAGGAAACAAGTTCTCATCCTACCTTTTGCATTCTTTGAATGATTCCAGTCAAGATGTAAACTACTTGATCATTAATGTTAAAATTCAGACTGATTTTTTACCTTCATGAGGTCAAAAGGTGGCCAAGATTTATAGGATTCATGTGTAAATTTAAGCTTCCACTGAAAGATCAGGAAACTGTGTTCTTCTCATTTAAAATTCTGCTATTATCATAAAAGCCTTGATTAGAGAAACTTCCAGATATTTTAATAAATGGATAAATAGATAATGGATAACTGGACAGCTATGTCCCATATCTAAGGGACAAAGGCTAGAGGGAGGCACATTTCTGTACTCTGAATGCAAGCAGCACTTAAAGGCTGTGGGCTGTGGGTAGGAGGGCCCTCACCCATCACGTCACTGTCCTTGTTACAGTTTGACCCAAGTTCCATGATGACATATCCTACCACTTCTAATTAATCACACGACTTAGTGAAGTTTCTTAATTTGTTGACTTAAACTTAATGGCAAAACTACAAAAAAATAATACCACTTACCTCACAAGGTGACTGAATGACATCCTCTCTACAGGACACCCAGTACAGTGCTTGGCATATAGTTACTTTTTATTTTTAACAAACTTTACTTCATACTGTCCCTATTCTTGGTATCATTAGTGTTTTTTCCACTAATGACAAGACTAGGTTTTTGGTTAAGTTTGAAAATGGGACCTAAACTTGAAAACACATCTCCTCTGCTTTCCTTATATTCACAGATGATTCCTGTAGAATTATGGGTATGTTTTCTCGAAGATTTGTTATCTTTTCTGGCTTTTTCTTTAACACCTTTCATTATTCAAGTCTCCTGGACACTTTGGAGTTTGGGCCCCTTCTCTTATACCCCAAAAGGGGAGGGCTGTTGATTACTTCAGTGAGTGCCTTCCCTGTTTTGTGTGAGACCCGCCTTTGACACACCTAACTTACATTATCATTATCAGTACATTGTCATGTCTGCCTTACTTGATCATAATTGACTTCAGAGGCAGGAAAAACTTTATTCACCTTCAAAATACCTATGCATCTGTGCCTGCTTTTGTGATAAGTATTAGTAAGTATTTTAAAGTGAATGAGTAAAGATAATAAACCACAAGATTATTTACCATTTGCAATGTCCTTTGTTAAACAAGACAATTGTATGTTGAAACTCTAAATGCTTGTCCTTTCGGTGTTCCAGCTCTTTACAGATTGGGGTGTCAGGCCCCAGGCACACTTGCTACAATTTCCATGGCTTCCTCTCTCTCAGGTGTAGCTACCTCTGACAGAGAGGGCAGGTTCTGTCCTGCTAAAGACCTAAAAGCAAAGTTCTGTCCTTTCTGCTGTTTTACACAGGAAGCCATTCATATGCTGTATTCCTTTTACCTTTTAGTTTTTATACATAGTTGAGAGAGATATTCCTCTCACTCTGTGACTTTCTACCATGTTGGGACACTTGTAAAGTCTCCCTAGCATCACAGGTGTGCCTGCTGGGCTCAGGCCCTGGGGAGCATAGCCAGGCCCTGGGTCCACACAGGCCCAGTCAAGCATTGCAGATAGGTACAGTCTCCTACCCATAGCACACAGCCTTGAAGTGGTGCTTGCATTCAGACTGTACATCAGGTGCAGTCTATTCACAAACCCAGAGCATTAAAATCAGGATTCCAGGACCTTAAGTCTTGCAAATTAATCTTAGCCATTACCTTTGTAAATATAATCAAAATCAGTGATGTCTTTTGAGTATTTTCCATTAGTAGTAAACCACAGGTCCCCCCTCTCCCATGGCAGGAACAGTCCCTTCTCACCAGCACTAACATATGATGTATGTTCCATCACATTGCATGAGTGATGGCCTCGATGCCAGTGGTAGGTTGCATTGCACGTCATTCATATTCTACAAGCAATTCATTAATAATTCTGGTTTCAACATCTTGGGAGTGAGCCCCCCCCCTCCTGTTTTCTTTCATACAGTGATAGACTGAAGTGTTCGAGAGTGTCCAACACCATACCTGCTTGTGGCGTCCAGAAATCCAGTAACACCAGAGCGTTGGGGCCAGTCAAGCTCATTGGTAATTGCCATTGGCAAACTGAAGAACGAATTCTAAAGAAAAATAATAATCAATTAGAAATTATCCAAATAGCCATTTGTTTTTCTACAGGTAGAAAGTCTATCTATGTCCTGAGCATTGTTGCGTGGCTATCTTTCTGTCTCTCCCTCTCTTTAAGAGCCTTTGGCTTCTGAGGCAGATGACTCAACTCTGACCTTCACCTGAGAGTTCACAATGATTAGCATCACCCACGAACTAACTGGCTTTCAGTCAGTTCCTGTGAAACACATGGAACATAAGGAGTCTTTCTGAGAGGGATGCTTCACTTGACAGGTAAACTTTCCACTCTTAAATTTTCTGAGATTCTCTCATTTTTCAGTTTAGATCATCAGATGATTGCCAGAAAGGTAATTGCCCTTAAAAAATAGTACCCAAGACCCCTGCAAAAATGCCTCTGCTGGGTTTAAACTGTGCAGTTAGTCAATAAGGTGGTGCCCCTGCCCATCCTGGCAGCCTCAGATACTTTTGGGAATTGAATGATGGTTTATATCACCATAAAGATGCACCTGAAGTCAGTATGGCCTGTAATTTTGGGAGGTTCACAGACCCCTCTATGGTTTGATTATGGTTTCTCCCCTCTGAAACTCATATTGGGGTTGAATCCCCAGAGCTGGGTATTAAGAGAACAGAAACGTCATCAGGCTATGGGGCTTAGAAGTGGGATTTTTGAAAGATGATTGGATAAGAGCTGTGTGATGGGATACTGTTGGTTTTATAAGAAAAGGAGAGATTGTGTGTTCTCTGTCTCTCACCAGGGGATGCCCTGCACTCCCTTAGGAATCTCTGCAAGAAGAATGACATCAGTAATCCTGGATCTCCAGAACCGTGAGCCAAAATAATCTTCTTTCTTTTTAACTTACTAAATCTGTGGAATTGTGTTATAAGCAACAGCAAATAGACTAATGAATAGCCCCTGCAACTAGTGTACAGTGACAAGAACCCCTGACTTGGAGTGTTGACAACAATAGGATTCATTTAAGTCACATTTCTATGGCTGGTGCAAAAACCACAGGAGAAAAATGTGGCCAGCTATGACTTCTTATTGTTCCTTTTATAAGTGCCCTCTGGGACAAATCCCTACTGTGCTCTAATTTTTTTTTTTTTTTTTTTTGAAAAAGCGTATCTACTGGTATGTTTGGAATAGCTTTGTTAGATTTAGTAAATCTAACAAGCACAGTTTGCTCAGTTAAATTTTAATTTCTGGCAAACAATGAATAGTATATGTATGTCTCATGCAGTTGTTGGGACATAGTTATACTAAAAAGTTTATCAGTTGCTTATCTAAAATTCAAAATGAACTGGTTGGTCTGAGTTTTATTGGGGAATCTTACTTTGGTTAGAAATCCTAAAAGTCAATATTTCCTTTTAGTCTTGACTAACAGGAAAACTGCCTCTTTCAGTATTTAAATCCTGTCTCTTTTTTTGAGGTAAACATGAAAACCTGAAGTCCTCCTTTAATGATAATTTAAGACTTAAGACAAATCACAGACTCCTGTCTCCTGCCATTTTTCCACATTCATGATGGTTCTCCCTATGTCCTACAGAGATGGATTGCCGAGGGAAAGTTAAGTCCCTTGAAAAATGCCTCTTTTTAGTTCTTTCTGTTGACAAAGAAGTACATGCCTGTTATAAAAACTCAAATATTCCACATGCCTATAATCTCAGAGGCTTGGGAGGCTGAGGCAGGAGGATGGTGAGTTCAAAGCCAGCTTTAGCAAAAGTGAGGCGCTAAGCAACTCAATGAGACCCTGTCTCTAAATAAAATATAAAATAGGGCTGGGGATGTGGCTCAGTGGGTGAGTGCCCCTGAGTTTGATCCCTGGTCCCCCCCTCTAAAACCTCAAATATTATAATAAATTACAATATAGAAATACAAAACGGACAATATAGGAAGCCCTTCATTGCCATTCCCAAGAGGATAGATAGTGTGAGATAGATACTGTTAAGGGTGTGTCCCATATATACAGTATGTATAAAATAAAATCTACCATAATCTTACACTACCATAATCTTTACACTTGGAAAAACTCAAGCAATCTTCCTACCATAAGAGTGTTAGAGAATTAGGACTCCAAATAAATAAAATAAAAATGTTTACTTCTCAATTGTGGACTGTTATGGGTTGAATTTTGTCCCCTCTCCCCTAAAGATATATTGAAGTCCTAAGTACCAGTACCTTGGAATATGACATTATTTGGAAATAGGGTCATTGCAGATATAATTGGTTAAGGCGAGGTCAATCTGGAATAGGATAGGCCCCTAGCCCCAGCTGACTGGTCCTTATAAGAAGAGGAAGAAACACTGAAATGAAGATACAGGGCAGGCCACATGTTGGTAGAGGCAGAGACTGGAGCCACATTCTGGGCAGCTTCACCAGGAGCTGAAGAGGGACGGAGCAGATTCTCACTCAGACCCCTTGGAGGAACCAACACTGCTACAATCCTGGTTGGGATTTGTAGCCTCCAGAATGCAGAGACAATAAGGTTGTTTGTTTGTTTTTGTTGTTGTTGTTTGCAGCCACCCAGATGGTGGTACTTTGTTAAGGGGGTCCAAGGAGACCAACACATGACCTGAGTTGGACAAGTCACTTCTAATTCTTATTATTCAGGGAACTAAGATTTGATTACCTTGTCAAAATAAATCACATGACATATACATGTGTTCCAATGTAGCAGTTATCTATAATGCCTGCGAGACCTCATGGCTCCTCCTTCCTCGCTTGACTCGTTCCACGTGTGGAAATTTTCATCCTTATCATTCCCCAAAGTATGATTCCCAGTGGGGGCTGGAAGCAAGAAGGGGTGGTCAGGAAGGAGGGTTTCCCAGGAGATATTGTCATAAAATGTGACTTCTCCCCTCCAAAGGAGAGGAGCAAACTCATTGAAAGGAGGCTCTCAAGTGATTTCAGAAGTCCCTGGAGACCCGGTGACTGTGACTTTCACTCCTCAAGAGTTTGGCACCCACCACTTTCTGCTCAAAACTCCACCTCATTGCTGTGGCTCAGCCTCTCTCTGTTCTGGCTCCTGCTTTTCCTGCCACTTCCCCTGCCCTTTATCTTATTCCTCCACCCATCTTTCTGCTTACAGTGTGTGTTTGCTGTGGGAATAAAGAATATTCAATTCTGCTACAGAAGACAAGAAAAACAAATAGAATGGATAAAACTTATAAGCTGTGTTAGGCAGAGATAGTGAGTAAGCAAGAGGATTGCGAGGTGTAGGCAGAATTTATGAGCTGTATCAGGTCAGCCAGTAACCTGTAAAACATGTTAAAAGTTAAGAGAACAATACACTCCTTCCCCACCCCACTCTTTTACCTCCTTCTCTGTTGTCTGCACAGTGGTGCCTAAAGATTTGGAAACCAGACATGGAACTAGGGTTCTGAATCTGGATGGGATTGTTCTCCCTTCTACAGGAGGAGGATAGATAAGAACTCTGCTGGCATAGGGAGGCATGTCTAATTTCCTCTGTAGCCTGAAATATTAGTGATATTTGTGCTAGTTCTGAAATGTGCCAGTAAAGTAGGGAAAGGAATCAGATCTGTTCTCCATGTTGGACTCTTTAAATACAGTAAAACTCATAATTAGGACACAGTGACATTGGACATGGGCTCTATTCTCCATGCAGCTCCCATTCTCAGTCAGGAGAGTGATAAAGTTCTTTTCTCCGTTGGGGGAGAGAAGATATTGAGGGGTAGGGAAAGTGAGGAAATGGCAGGTAACTGTCTTTGAAATTGCCTCCAGTGTTTTCTCAACTCAATCCCTCTGAAGGAAATGGATCTTAACTAGCTGGGAGATTCCTGAAAGCCTCGCTACGATCTGGGAATTCTCAGTCAGTGCTGGAAGCATCCCTGGGGTAAGATTTAAACTGTACTGGACAGCGGCTGGTGCTGAATCGCAGCTGGGCCTGGGGTGAGTTTGCATTCTGCAGCTGTAGCCCTGGAAGGCCTGAGCAGGCCAGCTGGATAGGTTTATCCTGCTGATTTGATTAACTTCAAAATAAGGCAAAGCTGTGTTTTCCTGATTGAATGTCTTAGACTTCTTACAGTGTCATGGTGAGGTTTTAGTGTTTCTAACTGTGCATATCAGGGGAGAGGTAGCTTTAACAGTATTCTTTGTCTTAGTATCTCTGATGACTAGAGGAATATTACCTTATTTACTTCAACAGCACTGTTGGGAAAATCAAAAGACGTAGTCAGCAATGGATTGACAAGTCAGAAGCCCTGTACTATGAAAAGGATTGAGGTTAAGATGGAGCACCTGGTGTTCCTTTCCAAAAGGATTGTCCCCTGTTTAAGTGTAGTATAGTTTATGATCAGATAACAGAAAAGATTTGAGCAGACCAATGGCAGCCTTGATATATTTTTTCTTTGTTAGTAAAATCAGTAGATAATAATGAAAAGTAACAGCCACTAATAGCAAATGTTTTTAGAGCCTAACCAAATAAATAGATAAATGAATAAATATTAAAAAAGAAAAAGAAAAGAATGTTTAAGTCACATTAAACACTAAAAGCCTTATTCACGCAACATTATACCCAAGATATTTCAGGCATTTAAGGCAGGAAAAATGCAAATTAAGACTTCCCTGATCAACTCCTACTTATTGCTCTTGAGCATTCATGTTCTTAGGAACTCATCTTAAATGTACATATGTGGAAAGATTTAATATTTACCTAGAAAAATCTTCCAAGCTTAAAGAGCCTAAGCAACCCAAAGAGGGTGAGGTCAACTATTGAATTGCTCCCAATTTTTCCACTTTTATCAATGTCATAAATGTGTTTTTATGTCACCATCAGCACATATACGCTATTTTGTGTAATATTTTCCTTTAATATTGCTCTGTGTATGTGTGTATGTATTTCCATGCATTGAGAAAAATCCACTGTGTCTTTCTCTCTCTTTCTCTCTCTCAGAAAACAGATTTATTTTTCAGTCCCATGGCTGCAAAGTCCAAGTTTGAGGGGCCCACGTCTAGTTAGAGCCTTCTTGCTGTGTC